CGACTTAAATTTATCAAATTCAGCCCCCAGTCGTATGTGGTTCTCACGTGCGGCCCCGTGAGATTATTCGGCGGGGAAATGACTAACTCGGGAACTAGCAAAGCTGGGAAGCTGAGATTTTCAGGGAATGTTCCCAGCCCGTGTATGACTTAAAGTTATCAGATGCATCCTCCAGGTATGCGCGGTTCTGACGTACGGCCCCAAGAAATTTTTTGGTGGGAAAATGGCTAACACGGGAATTAACAAAGCTGGGAGGGTGAAAATTTCAAGAAATGTTCCTAGCATAAGTACAACATAAACCTGTCAAATTCAGCCCCCGGTCGTACGTGGTTCTCACGTACGGCCTCGTGAAATATTTTGGCTGAAAAATTGTTAAACTGTCCTTTTATGCAGAATTTGCGACGATTTACGGTATTGAGGGCACAAGGTAGGTGAGAAGAAACAGCCGTTCATGCAATGAACCTAATTACTTCAAATTTGATACAAAAACGCACGATCGCACCGGCTCGCTTGGTGCGTTCCAGCCTGGGTTTGAAACAGAACATTGTCATTTGCGATATCAGCTGTGTGGCTTAGGGAAAATCTGTTATACCTTAAGCTGGCATTTGTTCAGAGCATTGGCGATCCAAGGGGGTTTACGGAGTTGGAGAAAGGATAGAAAAGTTTTCTCCTACTTCCAGGGAACTCGGAATTGCGGACGTGGAAAGAAAGAATGCGCAAAGTTTTTTTTTTTTTTCAAGACGCCTGTAAAATTTAATTGGTATATTCAGTTTACTAAATAGCAAATTTTCGTGCAAAAGTGGCGGTACGCAACCATGCTAATATAACAAAAAAAAAAGCAAATTGAAACCTAAGTGGTCGAGGAGATCATCTCACATATTATCAGTAAGACTCATCTTCCTTTTCCTGCAAGGCTTCACGTAATCAAATTTTTATCAAAGACAAGGATGCACAAAAGAATTTTTAATTTACAATGCTTTATGATATTTCCTTTGGCACATTCTGCAGGTAAACAGCACTATTAGTCTTAATGACAGCATCCAGGTTTTCAGGTATTACGGGTAATGTATCAATCGATGAGAATGGTGATCGCTATTCCGACTATTCGCTGCTCGACTTGGATCCTCAACAGGGCAAATTTGTTGTTAGTTTCCTTCAGATTTTCACCACCAAGATCGCTAATTTCCTTCAAATTTTTACCACCAGTGTAGTCCAGCACGGAAGCACTCATTGTACGGTTGCATATCCTAAAAGGATCCTAGAAGGATATATGACTGTACACCGAGTTCTTCATTGCTGGATTTCCGGAGTTTAGCCATTACGTATTACAACCCGCCGTTGTGCTCTGGAGTAGCCGAACCGATCTTTTCCTGTTTTTCGGCCTTTATCACTTATTTCAAGCTTCAGCCTTGGCGTTTTTAAGCTTTTAGCCAATACATTGCTTTGTTGAGCATTACGGATAAAAGAGCCTTGGTCATTCCGACTGTTATCCGACAGTTTAGGAAGGGCGGCTGTTTGCACACAGATTAGCACAGCTGGGCGGCGCAGGAACCTTAACTGTGAAATTTTGTGAGTGGCCAGCTTTGAATTGCAGGAAGTGGCATATTATTCAGGCGCATCGAATGAGCTGAAACAGGTGGCAGAATTTCACTGGGTTGGTGGCAGTCCACCAAAAGATTCGCCGATCTGCGGCTGGGATCATTCGAAATGTCCGGAAGGCTACCCATTTTACGTGTATCTTCTCAGTGGTTCCGCTGTTTTCATTCTCGTACTGATGTCTGGGTTTATTTACTTCTGGAGGTGAGTTGCTTTGCTCAGTTTTTGTGCGTTTTGCGCTGTGTAACAGCAGCACAAAACGCATATAGTCACGGGGTTGTCTGTGTGTATATGTGTGTGCATGTATGCGTTTGTGTTGTATGTGTAAGTCCCAGTGCATTTTATTCCGCATTTTCCGCATCCCGCAAACTTAAAATCAGCCTGCTCGT